TACTGTCCTTAGACTTACTGTCCTTAGACCTTCTGTCCTTAGACCTACTGTCCTTAGACCCTCTGTCCTTAGACCTACTGTCCTTAGACCCTCTGTCCTTAGACCTACTGTCCTTAGACCCTCTGTCCTTAGACCTACTGTCCTTAGACCCTCTGTCCTTAGACCTACTGTCCTTAGACCTACTGTCCTTAGACCCTCTGTCCTTAGACCTACTGTCCTTAGACCCTCTGTCCTTAGACCTACTGTCCTTAGACCCTCTGTCCTTAGACCTACTGTCCTTAGACCCTCTGTCCTTAGACCTACTGTCCTTAGACCCTCTGTCCTTAGACCTACTGTCCTTAGACCCTCTGTCCTTAGACCTACTGTCCTTAGACCCTCTGTCCTTAGACCTACTGTCCTTAGACCCTCTGTCCTTAGACCTACTGTCCTTAGACCCTCTGTCCTTAGACCTACTGTCCTTAGACCTACTGTCCTTAGACCCTCTGTCCTTAGACCTACTGTCCTTAGACCCTCTGTCCTTAGACCTACTGTCCTTAGACCCTCTGTCCTTAGACCTACTGTCCTTAGACCTACTGTCCTTAGACCCTCTGTCCTTAGACCTACTGTCCTTAGACCCTCTGTCCTTAGACCTACTGTCCTTAGACCTTCTGTCCTTAGACCCTCTGTCCTTAGACCCTCTGTCCTTAGACCTACTGTCCTTAAACTTACTGTCCTTAGACCCTCTGTCCTTAGAACCTCTGCCCTTAGACCTACTGTCCTTAGACCCTCTGTCCTTAAACTTACTGTCCGTAGACCCTCTGTCCTTAGACCTACTGTCCTTAGACCCTCTGTCCTTAAACTTACTATCTTTAGACCCTCTGTCCTTTGACCCTCTGTCTTTAGACCGTCTGTCCTTAGACCCTCTGTCTTTAGACCCTCTGTCCTTAGACCTACTGTCCTTAGACCTACTGTCCTTAGACCCTCTGTCCTTAAACTTACTATCTTTAGATCCTCTGTCCTTAGACCCTCTGTCTTTAGACCCTCTGTCCCTGAAACCTGTCATTGGACCCTCACAGCTGATATGGAAAAATTTCCCAAAAAACCCAGCTAGTCTCTCTCCATCTGTCTGTCCCTCCACCTGTCTGTCTGTCCACCTGTCTGTCTCTCTACCTGTCTGTCCCTCCACCTGTCTGTTCCTCCACCTGTCTCACCTCCAGCAGACTGTCTCCCACCAGTGTGACCAGCAGCTGGTGACCATAGCGTTGCCGAATCAAGGCAGCGTTCTCTGATGCATACATGCAGGTGAAGTCGAACATGGCGACGTCCGGCTGACCGTAGTGATTCATGGCGAAGTCCAGAGATGGCAACTGGTGATTGGTGGAGAAGTCTGCAGCCTCGCGGGCGTAGACCTGCAATGCATTCTGGTCCACATTTCCCCGAGACAGAAGCAGCTCAGTGTCCGCAAAGTCCTGATGGACAGAGACATTTTTTTGTGGTTATTGTTGTGTGTTGTTGTTTGTTGTTTGTTGTTTATGTCTCCAGGTGTTGTTTACCTGTTTGATGACCCTCTTCTCCAGCAGACTCTGTTTCTTGGCCGTCATCACAAAGTAGTGCGTGTCGTCTTTGTAGTAAACGATGTTTTCCAGGTCGATCCCTGGAACATCGTCAACACCATCAACGATAACAACTTTAAATTAATGTCTAATTAAAGAAACCCGACGGGGGACGTGTTCCATACAGGTTTATGTTCCGTACCTGTTTCCTGTCGCAGTTCCTGGAAGAACCTCTGGTTGAAGATGAAGGCAACGCCGCTGATCTCCTCCACTTTGGCCTCAGCTGATGTGTTTCTGTTTTTAAAGTTCGCAGTGATGGCGATCGCCAACTTCCCCCGGAACTCTTTACGTCTGAAACCTGCTCGAAACATCACCACAAAACATTGTTGAAATATTTCTGGTAAAAGTTAAAAGGTAAAAAAGAGTTCTAAAGGGATGAGTTAGGATTTTAGCACATTAGCATGTTAGCATTTCCTGTTCCCTCGTCTTGAAGTCAGTGAGTTTGTTGGTTCGATGTCTGAAATAAGGTCATGTTTTGTTCTCCGTCCCTCTGAAGCTTTATGTGTCTCTAAAAAGTGTCTAAATGAGACGACAGAACGCCATCATGCCAAACACGATGTACTCATTCCCAGAATCAGCTCTCAAACTTTGTCAGACTCAGTCAAACAGACTCAGCTGGACTTTGAGTCTGTCCTCTGTCAGACCATTTGTTTACCTGGAAGTGTGTTCCTCCGTCCGTCTGCTCCGATGATGACGTCAAACTCCAGCTGATTGACAGGATGAGCCTTTGGACTCACCTCCATCCTCCAACCCACCTCTGTCCACAGGTGGACAGACAGACAGTTGGAGAGACAGACAGACAGGTGGACAGACAGACAGACAGGTGGACACAGGAACAAGTGGACACACGGACAGGTAGACACATGGACAGGTGGACACAGGGACAGGTGGACAGACAGACAGGAGGACAGACAGACAGGTGGACACAGGGACAGGTGGACAGACAGACAGACAGAGGGACAGGTGGACAGACAGACAGGTGGACACAGGGACAGGTGGACAGAGGGACAGACAGGTGGACAGAGGGACAGGTGGACAGACGGACAGGTGGACACAGGGACAGGTGGACAGAGAGACAGTTGGACACAGGGACAGTTGGACAGAGGGACAGACAGGAAAACAAGTTGAAATAAATTCTTCAGATCTTTTCTTTGTCTTTACTAACGATCCAGGGTAGTTATTAATAGAACCCTGGTTCTCACTGTGTCTGTACTGATCCTCCGGCGGCGCCACCAGGTTCTTGAACTCCACGTTGACATGGACCTCCACCCCCAGCAGTAAGGCCACCTTCAGCAGGACCAGTTGCAGCTGACGGATACCTGCAGACAGGAAACAGGTGGTTCTGACTGGACCGTCCGGCCGTCCTGATTGGACGGGCGTAACGGATAACAGACTCACTGATGTGGTCGATGGAACCAGCGCAGAACTTTCCATAGAACTTTTTGGCCCCGAGGCCCCGCAGGTCGTGGATGGTGAAGGGCCACAGGTGGAGCACGTTGTTCCTGGAGAAGGAGTCTCTCTTCTCCAGCAGCACCACTCTAGCTCCCATAAAGCTCAGCTCCACCGCCGTCCGCAGACCACAGGGCCCCGCCCCGATGATCACACACTGACCAATCAGAGACAGAGACAGGACACAGCTGACCAATCAGTGCTGTTATATATTTAATGTAAAAAACCTATGGTAGATTAGTCATACATTATATTTTAGAATAAGAAACATACAGTGGTGTTGCTGCAGACTCGGGCCCTCTGGTACTCCTGCTGGGTGGCCCTTCGGTCCAGTTTGGCCCACAGAGCATTGGCCCTCCAGTAGTTGAGGCGCCGTTTGATTGGTTGGTACAGCGGCCTCTCAGCAGCACTGCGGTCCAGCTGCAGGTGTTCACACAGCTGGCTGAAGGTCCACAGTGCCGCCCTGCAGGTTGACGCCAACACAAACTCATCAAATAGCTCCTGAGCTCGGCATTCTGGGTATGTCTCGTCTCCCATGGCGACCCCGGAGGCTGCAGGGCACCATGGGAAGGGTGTCACCTGCTGATGATGTCACTGACGGACTCCAGCTCGCCTCGCAAGAGGGAGGTCTCACTCTGTCACAGAAACATTTTAAACATTAAACCATGTTTGTTAATTCTTTAAGAGCTGCTGATGTTGTTGCTGTAGTCGTATATTTACAATGAACCTCAGTGTCACACACTGCCACCTACTGGCCAGATGTCAGGAGTGCAACATAAATTATTTAAACCAAGATGGCCAACAGAGAGACAGAAATGTTGTGCAGCTCAAGAATATCTCGCCAATCCTTCTATAATAGGAAACCCTACATTCATTCACTCATTAATTTTCCGTAACCACTTATCCTGTTGGGGGTCGCAGTGGGGTGGAGCCTATCCCAGCTGACACTGGACGAGAGGCAAGGTTCACCCTGGACAGGTCACCAGACTATCACAGGACTGACACATAGAGACAGACAACCATTCACACTCACATTCACACCTACGGACAATTTAGAGTCACCAATTAACCTGCATGTCTTTGGACTGTGGGAGGAAGCTGGAGCACCTGGAGGAAACCCACACTGACACTGGGAGAACATGTCAGAGCACCTGGAGGAAACCCACGCTGACACGGGGAGAACATGTCAGAGCACCTGGAGGAAACCCACGCTGACACAGGGAGAACATGTCGGAGCACCCGGAGGAAACCCACGCTGACACAGGGAGAACATGTCAGAGCACCTGGAGGAAACCCACGCTGACACAGGGAGAACATGTCAGAGCACCTGGAGGAAACCCACGCTGACACAGGGAGAACATGTCAGAGCACCTGGAGGAAACCCACGCTGACACAGGGAGAACATGTCAGAGCACCTGGAGGAAACCCACGCTGACACAGGGAGAACATGTCAGAGCACCTGGAGGAAACCCACGCTGACACAGGGAGAACATGTCAGAGCACCTGGAGGAAACCCACGCTGACACAGGGAGAACATGTCAGAGCACCTGGAGGAAACCCACGCTGACACAGGGAGAACATGTCAGAGCACCTGGAGGAAACCCACGCTGACACAGGGAGAACATGTCAGAGCACCTGGAGGAAACCCACGCTGACACAGGGAGAACATGTCAGAGCACCTGGAGGAAACCCACGCTGACACAGGGAGAACATGTCAGAGCACCTGGAGGAAACCCACGCTGACACAGGGAGAACATGTCAGAGCACCTGGAGGAAACCCACGCTGACACAGGGAGAACATGTCAGAGCACCTGGAGGAAACCCACGCTGACACAGGGAGAACATGTCAGAGCACCTGGAGGAAACCCACGCTGACACAGGGAGAACATGTCAGAGCACCTGGAGGAAACCCACGCTGACACAGGGAGAACATGTCAGAGCACCTGGAGGAAACCCACGCTGACACAGGGAGAACATGTCAGAGCACCTGGAGGAAACCCACGCTGACACAGGGAGAACATGTCAGAGCACCTGGAGGAAACCCACGCTGACACAGGGAGAACATGTCAGAGCACCTGGAGGAAACCCACGCTGACACAGGGAGAACATGTCAGAGCACCTGGAGGAAACCCACGCTGACACAGGGAGAACATGTCAGAGCACCTGGAGGAAACCCACGCTGACACAGGGAGAACATGTCAGAGCACCTGGAGGAAACCCACGCTGACACAGGGAGAACATGTCAGAGCACCTGGAGGAAACCCACGCTGACACAGGGAGAACATGTCAGAGCACCTGGAGGAAACCCACGCTGACACAGGGAGAACATGTCAGAGCACCTGGAGGAAACCCACGCTGACACAGGGAGAACATGTCAGAGCACCTGGAGGAAACCCACGCTGACACAGGGAGAACATGTCAGAGCACCTGGAGGAAACCCACGCTGACACAGGGAGAACATGTCAGAGCACCTGGAGGAAACCCACGCTGACACAGGGAGAACATGTCAGAGCACCTGGAGGAAACCCACGCTGACACAGGGAGAACATGTCAGAGCACCTGGAGGAAACCCACGCTGACACAGGGAGAACATGTCAGAGCACCTGGAGGAAACCCACGCTGACACAGGGAGAACATGTCAGAGCACCTGGAGGAAACCCACGCTGACACAGGGAGAACATGTCAGAGCACCTGGAGGAAACCCACGCTGACACAGGGAGAACATGTCAGAGCACCTGGAGGAAACCCACGCTGACACAGGGAGAACATGTCAGAGCACCTGGAGGAAACCCACGCTGACACAGGGAGAACATGTCAGAGCACCTGGAGGAAACCCACGCTGACACAGGGAGAACATGTCAGAGCACCTGGAGGAAACCCACGCTGACACAGGGAGAACATGTCAGAGCACCCGGAGGAAACCCACGCTGACACGGGGAGAACATGTCAGAGCACATGGAGGAAACCCACGCTGACACAGGGAGAACATGTCAGAGCACCTGGAGGAAACCCACGCTGACACGGGGAGAACATGTGAACTCAACACAGAAGGGCTTCCCCACCCTGACCGTGTAAATGAGTAAAACCAAGATGGCCGACGTAAAGAAAGAAATGTGCAGCTCAGGTAAATCTCACCAATCCTTCCATAACAGGAGACGCTGCAAGTTTTGCATCTCAACAAGGATCTGCAGCTTTAAGCATCACACAGTGTCATTATGATGTCACTGAGTTCAGGTCACATGACCGTGTTTGTCTGAGCGGCTATGTGTGTGTGTGTGTGTGTGTGTGTGTGTTAGACTGAATAGAAACAAAGAAGTTCATACAGAACAGACCCACCAGTACCAAGCACCAACACACACACACACACACACACACACACACGTTCAGCTTTAACTACACAATAATTTAAAACAAATAATCTGTCATTTAATGTGGATAACTTTTCACTAAGAGGCAGAGTTACGAGAGTCCAACACATTCAGGACATAAACAAAATAAATCAACACAAATATAGAAAAACATCAAAAACATTTTAATAAAAATGCAACAAAAAACAACATAACAGCTGGAATGTTTATTTTTTATTTATTCAATTAAAAACATGTTTAGAAATATAAAATTATTAATTACTTAATGTTTAACATTCAGTCTGACTTTAATAAAACACACCTGTCTGATAATAAAACACACCTGTCTGATAATGAAACACACCTTTCTGTTAATAAAACACACCTGTCTGATAATGAAACACACCTGTCTGTTAATGAAACACACCTGTCTGATAATAAAACACACCTGTCTGATAATAAAACACACCTGTCTGATAATAAAACACACCTGTCTGATAATGAAACACACCTTTCTGTTAATAAAACACACCTGTCTGATAATGAAACACACCTGTCTGTTAATAAAACACACCTGTCTGTTAATAAAACACTCCTGTCTGATAATAAAACACACCCGTCTGATAATAGAACACACCTGTCTGTTAATGAAACACACCTGTCTGTTAATGAAACACACCTGTCTGATAAAAAAAAACACCTGTCAATAACACCCACCTGTCTGATAATAAAACACACCTGTCTGTTAATGAAACACACCTGTCTGTTAATAAAACACACCTGTTTGTTAATAAAACACACCTGTCTGATAATAAAACACACCTGTCTGATAATGAAACACACGTCTGATAATAAAACACACCTGTCTGTTAATAAAACACACCTGTCTGATAATAAAACACACCTGTCTGATAATAAAACACACCTGTCTGATAATGAAACACACCTGTCTGATAATAAAACACACCTGTCTGATAATGAAACACACCTGTCTGTTAATAAAACACACCTGTCTGTTAATAAAACACACCTGTCTGATAATAAAACACACCTGTTATGTTACATTATGTGGAATATGATCAGCTGTAACAATTTCATTAAACATAACAAAATTCCAGGACCTTTCCAGGTTTTCCAGGACTGGAAAATCACACACACACACACACACACACACACACAGGTTATAATAAAGAGTTATTAAATGAATCAGTGTGTACTCACATCTCTCGGAGCTCTCTATCTGACACTGCTGCAGGCTGACATCCAAATCCACTCTAATCACACACACACACACACACACACACACACACACACACTGTCTGAGGTCAAGGGGGCGGGGTCAGTGCAGAGCAGGCCCCGCCCCCTGAGGACAGACAGTAATCTGTATTCTCAGTGTGTCTGAGCTAACGAGATTAACCCGAGGAGATCAGGAGCCAGAGATCAGCTTCATCATCATCATCATCCTCAGAGAGCAGCAGCGCCACCTTCAGACTGACTGTTGTTATAAAAATCATTAAAGATGATTTAGTGACTCTTTTTATTCTTTATTCTGTCTCAACAGCTTCATTGTTTCACTCCTGTTGTCACACTGTCCTCCTGCTGTTTGTGTAAATTATTATAATTATTATTATTACATTTTTAAAACACACTTTAAGGATGAATTTATATTTAAACTGATCTTACTGTGAATTAAAAGAAACTTTATTTACACCTCACTCAGCAGCAGCAGCGTCAGCTCCCTCTGCTGATCAACACTGCTCACTGCAACACTGACATCAATAACCTGTTTATGACTTGGTGCTCTTCAGCATCGACACTTCCTGAATATGATCAGATCAGATGAGTCTCGTAATCAGGTAATTCATGTCCACGTGTCGTCTCACTCTGTGACAGTCGTCATGAAAACATTATTTATTCTACTTTAACCCTGAACTCTGCAGTAGAAATAACCCTCCAGAGCCTACAGGGGTATTTCTGCTTACTGTGATCTGTGATGTCATTTCCTGGAGTTACTTAAAATACTTAATAAAGTATATCTTATCTTACTTCATATCCATAAAATCTGAACAACCTGAGCTGAAAGGTTTTTTAAGTTCTTAAACCTGAATCACTGATAAAAGGATTGAAATTGTTTTTGTGTTATTGTGTTGTGTTGTTAAAAAAAAAGGTTTTTCTTCAGATTTTAAAATATATAAAATATTTTGATCCAAAAGATTTTTAAATGTAGAAACCTTAACACAACATTTCTTAACACTTCCATCAGTTTTTGAATTATGTGCATTATTTAGTTCAGTTAGTTTGATGTTTCATTATTTACGACAAAACTGAGACACATGATCTTAAAAACAAACAAACCAAAAATACAAAAGTAAAAAAAACAAAATTAGTCTTTGAGATATGATCATTTTGGAGCAGAGTGAAAAGGTGCTCATTTGTTCTTCTGGTGTCACACTGCGGGATGCAACACTGCACATTTTCACATGGCTTTGACCACACAGCGTGATGCAATGATGTCATCATGAGTGTACAACGTGATGACATGAGGACAGAAACCGTTCTGCTGCAGAAAGACTGTTCTCGTTATTATGGTTTTTATTTTAGATACACGATAACAAGACTATGTTAATAATGTGTTATTAACATGTTAGTAACTGCATTGTTTGTAATAAACAAGCGTTGATTGATAACCTTGATAACTGAGCAGAGTGAACAAAAGCACAGAATCAGTTGATGTCACAAACATATTTAATATTTTTATATCACAGATGTAACAAAGAATAAAATCGCAGTAACAGTTTGTTTCTTTGTTTGTTTGGAGACGCCGTCAGGAGGTTTGCTGAAAATAAACAAATAAAGTTAAGATAAAATTAAATAAAGTTTTAATATGAAGTGTGAACGGTGTCATGTTTCTCACCAGCAAAGCTCGGCCTTTAGTTTCTATCGGCAGCAGGAAGTTTGCCAGAGAGCAGATCACACACGCCACGGCGAACGGAGTGAGCGCCAGAATCACAGACTGAGACATCAGCACCTGAAGTACACACACAATGATGTCACACACCTGAGGACTCATCTTGGAGGTTCTGTGGCAGGAGACAATGAACTCACCTGAGCAATAAACGGAGCGATCATTCCTCCGATGCGACTGAACGACGTACAGAAGCCCATCCCCAGAGACCGCGCCACCGTGGGGTACACCTGAGGGACGAGACCACCTGACACCTGAGACCTGGTCCATAAACAACTGTTACCTGATCAATGACAGGTAACACCACCCACCAACACCAGCACAGTGTGGACGTACCTCAGCAGTGTAAATATAAACCACATTAAAGTTCATGGAGACCAGAGACCGGAGCAGGAACAGCAACACCGTGAACCCAAACCTGAAGGAGACAAAAACAGGGTCAGAGAGTCCTCATAGACCTGTGGATGTCTCTATAAACCTGGAGGTGTCCTCATAGACCTGTGTCTAGTCAGACTGGATGTCTTCATAAACCTGGAGGTGTCCTCATAAACCTGTCCCCAGTCAGACTCCAGCAGTGACAGATCCTTACATGGTGGTGCAGATGTTGATCATCATGAAGACGATGGCAGCGAGCAGCTGAACCACCGTCAGACTCATCCTCCGTCCAACCACGTTCAGCAGACAGATGTTTAATGGGACCACTGAAAGGACAGAGGGGGGCAGGAGGACAGAAGGCAGAGGAGGACAGTGGAGGACAGAGAGGGACAGAGGACAGAGGACAGAGTAGGACAAAGGAGGACAGAGGGGGACAGAGGACATGGGACAGGAGGACAGAGTAGGACAGAGGAGAACAGAGGAGAACAGAAAAGGATGTTCAATAAATAAAATGAGACGTTGTGGCTTTAATTAAATACTTGTTAAATTAAACCGTCTGGTTGGTCGTCAGGTTTCAGATGGGCGGAGTCTCAGTGTGAGGGCGGGGTCTCAGTGTGAGGATGGGGTCTCTGTGTGAGGGTGGAGTCTCAGTGTGAGGGTGGCGTCTCTGCGAGGGCGGGGTCTCTGTGTGAGGGCGGAGTCTCTGTGTGAGGGCGGAGTCTCAGTGTGAGGGCGGGGTCTCTGTGCGAGGGCGGGGTCTCTGTGTGAGGGTGGAGTCTCAGTGTGAGGGTGGAGTCTCATATGTGTGACCTCGCTGAGGCTGCTGATGAGCAGCGTCTGGTAGTTGTTAAATTAAACAGTCTGATTGGCGGCTGGTCGTTAGGTCTGTGGGCGTGTCTGATGGTGATGTCACTGAGTCTTACGTGCAACCTCGCCGAGGCTGCTGATGAGCAGCGTCTGGTAGTCGCTGAACTGGAAGGGGATGCAGTAACACAGCCCGTCCTCATGGCGGTGTTTGACCTGATGCTCTTGGTCGGCATCCGTCATACACAACAGGTTCTTCTCCAGCAGCTCCGAGCTGCTCAGCACCGAGCCGTAGTATGCAAAGGACGCCACGAACCTGGCGGACGAGAGACGCCACAACGTGAGATGTGGAGCGTGTTTATCGGACAGGTGATGAAACAGAAGTGGAGGAAGTGACATGTTACCAGGAGTACCACAGCAGGACAGACGTCCTCCTGAAAGACGAGTTCAGCAGAATCCTCCAGTTTCCTCTTTCCCTCTGAAACACACGCCGTCACGTGACATGATGACATCATCACTTATCGCAAACACTCAGCTGATGATGTCACTGAACATACCACCACCGGCTCCACGAGGCGTCCCGGGGGAAGAGACGCTCGGTTCATCTGAGCGATTCGCTGCAGAGTCTCAACGGCGGCGCCGACGTTTCCTGCTGAGACATTATAACGAGCCGACTCTGGGATGTACTGAGACAGACAGGGGGACAAGGAGACAGACAGGTGAGGACAGAGAGATAGACAGGTGAGGACAGAGAGACAGATAGGTGAGGACAGAGAGACAGATAGGTGAGGACAGGTGAGGACAGAGAGACAGACAGGTGAGGACAGGAGGACGTGTCACCTTGAACAGGAAGATGAGGATGATACTGGGAGTGACGGAGATCCGGATCATCCACCTCCAGCCCAGACTGGGAACCACCAACATCCCCAGTAAGATGATCAACATGGAGCCTGTCATCCAGAAGATCTGAGGGACAGAGAGACAGATAGAGGACAGACAGACAGACAGACAGAGAGCATGATGGGACATATTAACCAACCTTGAGTCTCTTGTTCCATCAGAACACTTTGACTTAAATCAGTAGAATCTATCAGTGTTGAGATGAGACAGCTGGACAGAGACATGGAGGACTGAGACAGCTGGACAGAGACATGGGAGACATGAGTTCAGATCTGGATCTTCAGACTCAGTATGAGACAATATGTGACTGATGGTTCTGACTGGAGACCCTCAGGGACCTGATCTCAGTCTGATACTGTTTACTGAGGACGTCCTGTTCTGATCCCAGAGACCAGGACCAGGTCTGATTCCAGAGACCAGGACCAGGTATGATCCAGGTCTTTAGAACTGATAAGGATCAGATCCTGGTTTTAATGTCAGCTGTCACACTGATGGTTTATTATTAATATCATCAATGTCACAACAGCTGAGGTGTGGATGAATGGATGATGTCAGAGTGATGTCAGAGTGATGTCAGAGTGATGTCAGAGTGATGTCAGACTCACAGAGGCGAGCGGCAGCAGAGACGCTCGGTACTTTGCAGGAATAAACTCAGTCTTCAACACAAACCTGAAACAATAACATGGACGTCACTCACACTGTGTGTGTGTGTGTGTGTGTGTGTGTGTGTGTGTGTGTCAGTGTGTGTGTGTGTCAGTGTGTGTGCTGACCCCTGTGACACCCCAGCGACGCCGCAGCCCACCATGCTGCGCAGGAAGATGAACCAGCTGTACGACGGAGCGAACGAGGTCAGCAGAGAGAAGTATGCGCTCCACACAAAGCCGCCAAACACCACCTGACAACACATACACACAACAATATACACACATACTGTAACATGACACTGTATATCAATAACATATTATATAGAAACCTTTGGTCCAGACATTGATGTAGATGCCACCTGATGTGCTCCACCCACCTGAACACCATTACAGATCAGGTAACCCCCCCCCCGCCCCATGGCAACTCCACTCCCTGATGGCAGTGCGCCACCCCAACAGGAGAATGCACCATGTCACACCACAAACACTGGTCAGGAGCGACCCCGGGGGATGTGACTAAGAGCTCAAGTGGGCATGCTGGTACCTTATCTCACAACCTGCAGGACTCAAAGGATCCGTCAACAACACCTTGGTGCCACACACCACAGGACACCCCCAGAGGTCCTGTCTCCAGGCCCCGACAGGTCAGAGACCCCATCATAGATTGGACTTGGCTCTGACCTGTCGAGGCTGGGCAAAGGACCTCTAGGGTTCTGGTTTGTCCCACAGATGTTTGATCAGATTGGGGTCTGGGGAATGTGAAAGCTGGGTCGATGCCTAAGTTCAATCTTTGTCACGTTCCTTGGACCATTCCTGAGCAGATTCTGCAGTGTGATGTGGTGCAGTGTCCTGCTGGGGGGCTACTGCTGCAGTCGGGGGGGGGGGACTGCCACCAGGGCTACTGCTGCAGTCGGGGGGCTACTGGGGGTATTGCTGCAGTCGGGGGGGGGGGGGGGGGGGGGGGGGTGGGGGGGGGGGGGGGGGGGGGGGGGGGGGTGGGGGGGGTGGCGGGGGGGGGGGGGGGGGGGGGGGGCACTTGGTCTGTAACAATGTTTAGATGGGTGTGTAAAGAGGCGGGTCCACATGAATACCAGGACCGAAGGTTTCCCTGCAGAACACTGCACTGTAATGAAATGATCAATGTCACTCACTTCACCTGTCAGTGGTCACAATGTTTTGGCTGTTTGTTGATAATGACATATATAATGAAGAAGTTATTGACCTTCCAGCGTCCGTATCTGTCAGCGATGTATCCTCCCAAAACTCCACACAGCATGAAACCCAGGAACACCATCTGAGACACAACAAGGAGGTGGGGAGGAGGAGGGGGAGGAGGGGGAGCTTCAGCATGTGACAATCACCGGGTTTCACTCTGGGATATTTTAAAGAGCCTGAAACACCACGGTGAGAACAAACAGGTGTCTAATTATAATTACAATGATCTTTAATATGTAAACAGGTCTGATCAGGTGTAGTCAGGTGTGAACAGGTGTAGTCAGGTCAGGTATTAATAGACACCTGGATCAGGAATGTTTATAATGAGTCAGTGTGATGTCACCTGACCTGACGAGGCATTGTGGGTATTTAATATGAGACTTGATGTTTATCAGAAGTGTGAGGAGGACAGATCCATATGAGTTTCTCTCTGAGAGATGACCGTTCATATCTCACAGTAAAAAAATGATAAAAAATAAAAATAAACACAGCTGTGTGTAAAATATCATTTGTTCTTTGTTAATAATTAAATCATGTTCAGAACTCTTATTGATGAATGAAATATTAATGAGCTGTGACTCACGGTGGAAACGAGAGCGACCTGCCAGTCGTCTAGATGCCACTCACATCGGATCTCTGGAGAAACTACGGCCAGCAGCATGATCTCCATCGCCTCCACGATCTACACACACACACACACACACACACACACACACACACACAGTTACAGAGTCTCTGCTCACAACTGTTTTTTTTCTTTTATTGGAAGAACTGAAATCAAATAAAAGGACGTTGAATCTTTAATCTTCATTGACACTAACAATGACTTTAAACGACAACATGAGCTCAATGCAGACGTATATACTTAGATATCACATTAACTGTGTCAGCCTGTTGCAGCTGTGATCTCTGCTGAGTTAGACTGTGACATTAGGCATATATAAAGCAGCAGCAATCACAGTTTAACGCAGCAGAGATCACAGTTTAACGCAGCAGAGATCATGTTCATATTCACTCTAACAAACAGAATATAAAATACATCTGTTTGCTCTCTTAATCAATAAAAGTTCTGTAAATGTGTCGAAGATCTGCAGTTTTAATTTGATGAACTTCATTTTGTAGAAATTTAACTTCTGTTCTTTCACATGAAATTCTAACTGCCTAATCTTAAATAAGATTCATTAGTTAGTTTATCTGTAATAATCAGACGGATCTGTTTACAACAGCATGTTAGATTGTATATAACATATAAATGTACTGTTTCAATGTACAGTAGATGTAAACTTACGTTGGAGCTCCCCATGATGACAAACAGCAGGACATGAAAGCGTCCGAAGCCGATTGTTTCCACAGCTTCCTCCACAGTGAACGTCTTGTCTGCTGCTGCGCCCACAGTTCAAATAAAGTTTTATTATTTGTTCATTAGAACATTACAAACGGTTCTCCCGTCAGAACAAAGCACACACACGTGTGTATCAGCTGATCCAAAGAGAGATTGTTTTACTTGTTTACATTATTTATTGATGTCTGAAGATGAAAAAAAAAACCAACAACAATTACCTGCTGACTGATCAGATTGACTCTCCAGGCTCTCATCAATGAGACACTTCATTGATTTTTGATTTCAGACTCACCATTATTGTTCTTCTTGCTGTCCTGCTGGTTGTCCTGCAGTTCCACCTCCTGCAGCTGGATTGCACTCACCAGCTGAGTCTTCATATAATCCCCCATCCTGAGAACAAACACACAGACGGTGATGTCACGTCTTTACACAGAACCAAACGACAGCGGGATCATGTGGCTCCAGTGTGTGATGTCAGACAATATGATGACACCACCAAGTCAAAAGTGGCGTGACATGTAACACAACAGCATTAGCTGTAACTGTTAGCAGTTAGCACTTAGCTGTTAGTTCACTGGTTTTTGTTTTGGTGTATTATCGTGCTGCAGCAGCCGCTCCTCCTCCTGCTGCTGTCTGAGCGTCAGGGCTGCTGCCTCACTTTTACGTGCACACACAGATACACACAAACACGGACTAAAGATGACGCGGTGGAGACAGGAAGTGAAGATAACTTGAGCTGACGATGAATACACTTGTTACTGTGAGTGCAATAAAACCTCCACGAGAAAAAAAGCCAATACTTTATCAATACAGCTGATCAGCAACATGTAGAGAAGTTTTAATGAGCTCTGTCCACAGTCTCTGATCCACCGCCGCTGACATCATGTTGTAAACAAACACAGAGGCTTTACAACAAACAACAACAACTGTTGTTTGTTGTTTGTATCTGTTTTTAGCCTCATTGTAGCCTGTAGCTCTAACTGTTAGAGCTACAGGCTACAGTGAGGCTACTCTGAGTTCAAATGAGGTTTTTCCAAACAACTTTTTATGTCGGGGCTTCAGGACACTTGGATCACTGCGGACGAGCAGTATGGAGATATTTTGTGGTTTCAATGATGTGTTTTTGGACGTTTGAATCTGGGGCGCCGTCAGCCTCCATTAGGTGGAGTTGTGTTGCTACCTCCTCTCCCCTTGGATCTCTGCAAGTGATGTGAGGACTCTAAAACTTCACCTGAGCCTCCCTCGGCATATGGGTGAGTAGATAATGGCTGAGTTTTCATTTTTGGGTGCACTATCCCTGCACTATCCCTTGGGGCATCATCACAATCCCCCTCATTATATTTTATTTTACTTTTACGTATCTATTGAATTTTCCCTCAGTGCACTTTTTTGTTTGTTTTGTGGACAGTTGTTGTTTGTTATTAGTTTACAGTTTGATAGTTAAAAAATAATAAAATGTCATCATTAATAATAATAATTATCAATAATCAATAATGAATCGCCATCTGTGAAAATAAAACCTGTTCTCTGACTGTTAAAGTTTATTTCTCTCTTCTGTTGTTTTCATGAGTTTAGTTTGATGGGTTTTTGCTTCCTGTCAGTCTCACACAGTTTATAATAAATATTCACTTCATGTGTTCACCTCATTAATGTTTTCTATCTGACAGGTTTCATTAAGTCTAATATGAGTTATATTGATTTCTTCAGCAGGTCTCACAGAGCTGTAACCCTGAGCAGAGGAAACAGCTGTGACTATAGTTTCCTGTTGTTTCTCCACGTCGTCTCAGTCAGTTCTGCCTGAGGTGAAACATTTACATATTCATTCAGGGATAAAAACACATTTCATATTCACTGTACAGACTCCTGCAGTATTTACACTGCGTGATATTACAGTTTTCTCTTCCTGAACTTTTCCAGTCCTCAGTTGTTGTTTCTCTTTCACTGTGTCACCTGTAACTCAAAGTTGTTTCATAAACATGTGATAAATCTACTTTCAGTCGGCGTCCATTTTCTATGAGATGCTGAATTAAATTGTTTTTTAAACTGACCTCTTCTGAATGTTTTATTAATTTCTGACCTGCAGGGGCTTTAAAAAGTGTTTTTGGTCTGATTCATATTTTAGTTTATTGAATAATTAGTGAGATGTTTTTACCTGCCCAGGTGACCAGGATGTTGTCATGTGTGTGTTTAACTTAAAGTCAGAGTCTTGTGTGGTTTCTCAGAGGAGGAGGAGGAGGAGCACATGTCATATTATGTTATATATTATCAGTTTGACAAGTTTTGTATTTACATTTCCAATTCATGACTGTGTCTGACACACATTTAATCTGTCCTACAGTTTCTGTCACTGCTGCTCCTCTAATACATGGCAGTGTACTCACTGATGCTGCAGCCATTTTGTTTACTATGAGTCAATTAAATAATAATAATAATAATAATAAATAAATAAATAAATAACTATTTCATTGAACTAAAAGCTGAAATATTGTTTGGTTCAAATCAGTGACCTGAGGGGTATTCCAGAAAGCGGGTTTAGTGAAAACTCAGTGTGTGTTAACCCTGAAATGAGGGAAACTCTGGGTTTTCAGTTCCAGGCAGAGAGGTAAATCAAACTCTGAGTCAGTCACCATGGCAACTGAGTCTGTGAACCTAACCTGCTCGCTGGTTAGGTTTTTCTCTGTCTCCTCCCTCTTACATGCTGTTTCATTTCCTCATTCATTCAGTCCGTGTCAAAGCTTGTATCGAAGCGCATTCATTAGCGGAGATTTACCGTCTGTCACAGTCTAAATCCTGCTGGATATTAGTTTGTTACTCAGGACTGTCTTAAGTTACTGAATTTATGCACATCAATCATTTCTTTGGACATC